TCAGGACAAAAGTTCACCTTGGCGTATTACATAGGCGTAATAAAGGCGAGAGGGGAGGGAGCGAAAACTGCAGCGACGTTTAAAAGCCACTGTGGAATTAATAACCAATGATCTGCAGTAGCTGACAGAGGTTACTTCTGCCCTGCGGTCAGAATTCTAGCCCTGGATCAAAAGAAGTGTTTATGTAAAAAGATGATACCTACCTATAAATTATAAAATATATGGCTATATTTCCGTAATATTGTGTACCTAAATTTAGTATTTATACTAATAAACGTTATTATTGTTATGTAATTTATTTGGTTTTATTTGATATTATTGAATTTTTAAGCTTTTGATCAATGACCAAAAAAATGTAACAACAAGTTACATCGAAAAAATCAAAAACCCTGGGATATTACGAGAAAAACGATGTGTAATAAAGCTCTCCGTGGATTTGAATTTCTCCAATTTGCTTAGTAATTTTATATTTTTCTTTAGAATGTTCTATATTAGAGTATAGTTTTGCCATTTAGAATTCTTGTCAATCTTGCTGTGAGCGGCGCTCATTCAGATTGTATTGTTATCAGTATTATGTTTATTCTATAATAATATTATCTAACTACCTAGCTAACAAAATATATATTATGCTGTATATTATATATATATGTTATTGCACAGAGCCCACTATAGGGCATGATATATTATCAATAGAAATAAAGTATATTTTGTAACGTGTTCAATACGAGTACCTATACTAGATAATATATAATATGACAATTTATTGGATATTAAATATTAATTTTAATGTAAGACACTAATTATTTCATAAGCTATGAACGTTTTTTTACACCATTTTAAGTCACTAAAAACAACAATTTCTTAAAAATTAAAATATTTATAAGTGTTAGGAACCAGGTACTAGGTAATAAATTACTTGTCCAAAATTGGATTTTTATAGATCAAATACTCATAATAATTCAAATAATATTAATAATAGATATTTCTTTTGGTTTTCACGGTGCTTTTGAAAACTACTGGGAAATTTTTACTTTTGACCCCCCAAAGTACCAACCAGATTGATTCAATTTCCTGTCAGAAAAGATACTGTTGAAAAAAATCCAAGCATTTTTACTGTCCTAAGTAGGTAAAAGGTTTATGGATACATATTGATATGAAATAAAAATATGATGTGCTAATGTATTATTAATGTCGTTCTTATAGACGTTCGAACCAAAAATAGTCCTACTATTTCTAATATTGTCTCATAAAAAACTCATAAGTAAAATGGACGCATAGGAATCTTGTAAAGTACTTGAGTTAACTGTAAAAGTATTCAACTACCTAATTTTTAAGTAACCATTACTCATTAGTACGTATTTTTAATACTTTTGAAAAAAGTACTTGAACAAAGTATGTACCTACTGTTGTATAATTTAACTACGAATTGGTGTTAGACATAGACATTAATTGTCATTTTAAATTTTAAATTAGTGATTTTTAGTTTTCACCAATACCATTCTTCGAGATAAGTATTTTTTACACATAATATATTAATATCATAATCAATACTTACATTTGATTAATTTTACATTAACATTGAACACGATTAGCATGCATATTTCCAATTGTACATTACACTCAAATGCTAACATTTAATATTGAACTAATAGGTATTATAATTTTATCATATCAAATAGGTATCATGTTAATTTAAAAAAAAAAAAACGTGTCACGGGACACGCGTATGGGACGAATTCCCTTTCGTATACGTTTGGCGTAATTAATCATTAACGTCAGACTCTCATTCTCTCTACCCACCGCTCTCTTTAATTTTGATTATTGATGAAATAAATAAGTATATTCATACATTTATTTGCAATATATTATGTATATTTCTTGATTTGTTTTTAAAAGATTGTTTTTAATAAATTTTGTATTTTTATTTTTTTTGATTTCCTACAATATTACTCATACTTCATAGGTTAGGTACTTTGGTAGAAACGGTTATGAACATAGCAATGAAACGTAATTACGTAATTAATGGTTTAGCATATTTTAGAAGTATATCAATATTATAATTATTATTTTTCATAAGAACAATTCAATCATTGAAATTATAGGTCTATGGTAACTGAAGTAAGATATGTGAGTTTGTGATTTGATATTTTGCAAATATGTAGAAAAATCAGTGTCATTAGTAGTATTATTTCGTGTTGTAGATTCTGATGGATCATTGTTAATATTATGCAAACCAATTTTTTCATAGAGAAATTGTTTTAATATTAAAATCTCCTGTCAAAATTAGCTTAACTTATCATAATTCTTACGTTAAATGTTTGTCTCCGATGGTTTAATAAACATATATCAATAATTACATTGTATTGAAGTTATGATTATAATATAGTATATGTAAGTACATGTACTTTATATTAAAACGTTTTAAGTAGTTTTTGTTGTTTAATATTTATATCAAGTAATAATAATAATTTACTGCATTATACCATAATACCAACATAAATAATAAAAATAAGCGGGCCCGAAATCCAGTCACGATGCTGCAGGTCGATTAATAATAATATGATGGTTTGCTAGCTAGTAGCTGGCTACTAATAAACGATGTTTGTTTTAAATTAACGGCGACGGCCTAGGACGAAATTCGGAATCAGCTCACTTGCAATTTAATATTCTGACTATACCTACACGCGTACAATTTACCTGTGAAAATGGCTGAATTGCATACTACCGAAACCCAAAAAATCAAGAAACCCGTAGAGGACGTCATGAGGAACATCATCAATAACATCAAGTATGACATTATGGAAGCAGAACTCAGCGTATTCGACAACTACCGAGAAGAGCCTACGGTTTCGGATTTGGCGGGCCTGTTGTACTATGCAACCCAGTTCGTGGCGGGCGACTCGTCGGAAACCATTCAACCGGACGACGATTCCAGTCTGACTGGACCGGTTGAACGGATCGGAGACGACGTGGACGTCGTGCCAGCTGTGCAGGCCCCTGTGGAAGGGCACGGTGACGAGGCGGAGGAGTTCGTCACACCGGCCAGGGGAGCTGAGGTCAGGAACAGCATCGGAGACTTGATCGGCTGGCTGGACCCGGGGGCAACGCTAGCAAAACGCGCAGGTCCACCCAGAACGTATGAACATTTTATAATTAATTCACAATAACCAAAATTATTATAATATCATGGTAAATAGAAATTAGAATTCTATAAAATATATCTCTTTAAAATTCCGTCTGGAATTATTGCTTTTGGCGCCAACATTTAGTGATAGTTCATGTTGGCACCGGAAGCGCTAGTATCCAGTGAGTAAAAACATTTATTTGATAAGAAACTTTTCCGCCGTAAAGTACCGTGGGATTGTATGGATCGTCTTATATCGTCATTCTATCTTAAACCGTGCTGGAAACGAAATGGTCTGCGGGGATCGGGGGATGGCCCCGAAAAGATGTCACTTAGCTGATAAGATTACTGATCTTGAAGTTTTCAGCGCTACAGGTGGTTTTATTTGGCTCACAGATATCATATTATATATCTGTGATTTGGCTACACAATTTGTATCTTAGTGTTAAATACAGAGGGCGTTGTGAACTCCAAGAACACATAGCGACCCCCCGCACATTGCTTCTTGTACATACATTGCGATAAGCTGCTCGTTTCCAGTCCATTATATCTTAGTCCAAGGTGTATTTATAAATACACCTTGTATTAGTCCGTCGTGGTATAAGCACAGAACAATAAGTGCGGTATAAGTATTCTCTTTGAACAACGATGTAGATAAATCGTATTCTGTGATTCTATTTCTACACCGTGCTTTGAACCACGATTAAAGATATACTGGTTACCCAACGGCCTATGCTTTGCACAGGCAGAAAACGGCTACGAAACCGCGATATGTTATGGACTGTCTACTAGCGCCATCTAGGTTATTAACTTAGGAACTACTTGTTATTGTAAAATCACGAAATTTTCAAAAGGGCAAAAAGATTTTAATTAGTAATAATTAATTATTAATTAGGTAATATGGCTAATACCACAGAAAAAACCTGTAAAACCTATTAAAACAAAAGACAATATATGCAGTAAATAATATTAATGATTAATTATAAATATTTAATAGGTAGCTAAAAGTTATACTAAATAAGACCATTACGATTAGATATAATAAGTAAAACATTCATGTTATTTACTATTTAGTATGTATTTAGATTTGTAGCAGACATCCAAACCACTACACACATCTGTAATATTTGTTGTATTTATAAAGATTATTAGAAAACCAATAATCAATAAGATACAAGATTTGTTAAGATACAAGATTTTGTTTTTTTGATTCTTGATTTTTCATATACAAAAATTGCCTCATTCTCATTGTTATATAAATTACGAATATATTGGTTAACATGTCAACTTTATGTTGTTTGCATGGGAATGTGAGAATTCTATTTTCATTCTGAAAAAATTCTTCAAAAGTATTCTCAAAGGGGTTTGAGGAATTAGCATATTTTTCAAAACATAACTCCACTTGTTGAATAATTAAAAATAAATTATTGTATAGTACTATCTATATATAAAATATTTACTATTTAGGTATATATAGATACTTGGTTTTCATAATTAATTATTTACGTGGTTAAAATAAATTGAGGAGACCACTAGATAGTGCTACTAGTCAGTACATTTTCAATCGCGCTTTTCGAGTCGTGTTATAGTGTTATACAGTCTCGATGTGTAACCAGTTGTATATCTTTAATCGTGCTTTGAACAATAATAATATTATCACAGATAGATCTGTGGCCTGTAATCAAGGAGGAATTCCCACAGATATTATTATTACAATTTATGAACCATAAATTATTTTACTCCTAATCGTGAATTTGTCACAATTGTATTATTCAGTTATTATCTATGACTTCAGTGTCGTACTGTAGTGAACTTGTGATTAAATAATACAATAATAACTATCAGTAAAATTACACTAGTTTTTTTTTTTTTAAAAATGAGAAGAAAACCAAATATTCTAATTACTGGTACGTATTTATAGTTAGGTTTTAAGTAGGGAGTTCTGAAGAATATAACATGTCTGATCTTTGACTGTGTAGCACAGTTCTGAATACGAAGGTTGTATCGATACTAAATTAACTCAATAACCTAGTCAATAGATTCTGATAAATATAATTTGATTATTTTCATTGTAATTACATTTTATTTGCATATTTGTTCTGTTTAGGTACACCCGGTGTGGGAAAATCAAAACTGTGTGAAGAATTAATTCGTAATGGATTGGATATGGAATGGATCGAAGTTGGTCAAGTGGCTAAGCAGTGTAATTGTTATTCTGGATACGATGAAGAATTGGAATGCCATATCCTCAATGAAGATAAAGTTAGTGTTAATAGAGAGTTTGTTGTATTGCTAATTATTTGTAAATAACTAATTGTTTTAAAAAATTTAGGTGTTGGACGAGTTAGAATCAAGAATGGAAGAAGGAGGTAAAATAATTGATTACCATGGCTGTGATTTCTTTCCCGAACGATGGTTTGATGTAGTATTTGTTTTGAGAACTAACAACACATTATTGTATGATCGTCTTGAAAAAAGGTTTGTTATATGGACTAAAGTAGGTCTGAAACATAGAATTTGTAAAACTTAGACTCTAAGATCTGAGAAAACTAAAAATTAAGTAGGTATATTAGTCTTACAATATTAGGCTTTTTTCTTCTGTTAATCTTTGTTAATAGAAAATCCCAAAAAAGGTTGGAAATTATATTTTAGACAGGTTACATTAGGTGCCTGTAGTTAAGTGATATTGCAAGGTTTGTAATAAATTGTAAGCAAGCTTTATGAGCCTATAATTAGGTGCTATCCATAAAATATTTTTGTTTTTTTTTGGGATATTTTTAGTAAACCACTTAAAAACTGTTAAGTATTTCTATTGCTTTGTTATAGTTTTATTAATTATTTTATCCTTAGCATAGTAAATCATACCAGAAAACGACCATTTGATGATCTGTGCTGTCCATAGTTATATCAAATAGGAATTTTTGGCCTTAGTACTATTTTGTAGAGAAGTATGATAGAATTTAGAAAATATAAGAACACCCCACATACCCATTGGACAGAGTATATAAAGGTTGATAAGGTTGGATAAAATAATTTTGACTGTTTCTAACACAATTTATTTCACTCTAATATATATAATTAATAAAAATGAATTATTTGTTCCATCTTTTACTTTTAATTTTAGAGGATATTCAACTAAAAAGCTTCAAAATAATGTAGAATGTGAAATATTCCAAACTTTACTTGAAGAAGCAATGGAATCATACGATAACAATATTGTACACGAGTTACGCAATGAAACCTACGCAGATATGGAACGCAATATCACTCATATAGGTGCTTGGGTAAACCAGTGGATTAAAGACAATGTTAACAAATAGAATTAAGTATATTAATTGTACACTTGTACATCCCAAAAAGTGTAACTTTTATTTTATTTAACATAACTTAAACAAAACTCAAACTGTTACTTGATAAATAATTTAATTTTGATATTTTCTTTAATTCTTGTTATTACATTTGTTAAAATTGAAAAAAAAAATCAATAAACGAACATTTTTATATTATTTAGTAACTAAAATATTGTGTTGATTAAAAAAATAAATAAATTTGAAATAAAATAAAATAGTATAAATTGTTTTTTATCACATAGACATATTATTATACTATATAGGTATAGGGAATGGGTATACTTCAATACTTGTTATACTTTAACTTTACCTATTATATTTGTATAACAATATGTTGTCGAGATAACCAAATCGGGATTACTGACAATCGTTGGTAGTCGCGATAACTGAAAAGTACCAAATAATATGTCTGTATGTTTATAAGAATAAATACTTCTTTGGTCTTACTGTAATTAATTATTATATTATTATGGTTAGCAAAATACACACATTTTCACTAGACAGTGTAAGGAAATTGGTTTTATAGTATTTTCCAATATTATTTATGTTTCTACAAATAATACTCATCCAATATTATGTAGTAATTACCTAATATAAATTAAAAATAATGTTTATTAAATAATGGATTCATGAAAGATAATTGAAATCTTATAAACAATAATTATTTATTTAATTATTGTTCTCTTAGTTTTCTGGAATTTCGCAATGATCACATTGAAATACGATTTTCTCAAGCAGTGGTGTAAGTTAAAAAAGGTGGTTTAATTCCTGTGGTTCTCCAACTGAGGACTACCCATCCAGCTCAACATTCAAGAACCATGAAAAACGCTAAAATATTGATAATTATTTCTCAACGTTAAAATCTAAAAATATTTTGATATTACTGTCTTGTCACAGGTTATGTATGCGAGATAATTTCAAGAGTAATAAATAATAAAGATAAAAGTCAAGATAAATTTAGATTTTAAGTAACCAATTTCGTCCAAAAAGAATTGCTATTTAAACTAAAATACGTAGAAATCATACAATCTGTATATTAATCCCATCAAAGGTTATGAGTTATGACATGAGACTATACTACTGAAGATTGGTAATTTTTTTACAAGGAAATTAAGTATAAACCTCCTATCAATTCTGAATACCAAAAAACTTTCTAATAGACATTGTAATGAGGTACTCCATAAATATGACTATAGTTTATATATTTTATAATAGAGTGCATTTGAACTATTACCAACATTTTTAGTTATAATGCATTAGCTTAAAATTAAAGTCTTCTGTAATATTATTTAATTGCATTTCAATCTGAGATTGCCTCAAGCCTGAATTGCAGTGGTGGACCTTAAGAGGGCACTACACAGCCATTTCTTGTCTCCGTCTTACAAGTGCGTAACATACCAAATTTACACTCAGCACATACTTAATAATACCTTAATATAGGCAATTTTAAGTTATACCCATACTTAATGACCCATAAGTATTGTAAGTTATAATTATTATTTTAGCACACTTTTAAGAGGACGCTGCACAGATATTTGCTGTCTCAGTCTTACAAGTACGTAACATACTAAATTTATACTCAGAATATCACGTTTAGCTCCGTTAGTCTAAAAAAATATTCATGTTGAAGTACCTCTGATGGCAGGCCTCTTCCTTCAGTCTCTTCTGTCTGTTTTTGTTCTATTATCACTTAAGCTTATTGTTCTAATTGTAACAGATGGCGTGATAAAGAATTTTTGTTAAAAAAAAAAAGTTTAAAAAGATTGAATTGACCTATTATGAAAATTTATGGTAGGAACATTATCTGTATTTGTGTCTGGGTTTTTTATGATAGTTCAGTTTTTTAGCAATGTCCTGCGTATATAATATTGTGTTAATTAAAAATTGTCATAACTAACTTAAAAACTGAATTATAGTCCATAAACCATATACAAATACAATTAATATTCCTACTATAAACTTGAAATCTAGTATCTTGTATCTATATGTAAAAATTAAAAAAACAAAGTAAAATAACTACAATCTGTCTATCTAGTATCATTTCAAAAATGTTCCATATATATTGTATATTTGTATCTAGATAGATACTTTAATTTAAAGATATTTGTGAACATATCACAAAGGCTGTTAATGTCTACTAAAAAAACTATAGATTTCTAGCTTCTTTTTTCACTCAGAATTAAAAATATATATTGTTTTAAAGAAACAAAAATGAATTCCTAATTTTTATTATTAAAAATCTTCTACCTTAAATAATATATAGTTTTGCTTGATACATAAATTCAATAAATGAATGCATAATACAAACAATCTGTGTTAAAAAAAAAATTGAACTAAATTAGATTTAATAATGTTCCCATGGTTTTTCTGGTCTTTCTTGATCCCAAGGATTTGGTGACTTGTATCTTGGATCTTCTTCTAACCGTACACCACCTTTTAATAAGTTTTCTAGTAATGCCTCAAGCTGTAATTTAAATATATAAATATAATTATTGACTGAAATTAAATAAAACTAGGTAAATAATATTGTAAAATAATACTTACTTTACTATTTGGCAAAACTTCATGAGTATTTATCATATCAGAAATACCACATTCCAAACAACGTTGTGCTAACACTTTTCCAATAGTTATGTATGCCATTTTATCTAAAGTGCTAATAATAATATAAAAAAGATAATCAATATTAAATAAACCACAAATAATCAAATACATCAAATTTTATATACTCATAGCTATCCTCATTAAATTGTATTGAAAATGAATAATTAAAAAGACAATACACAAGGTAGGTAATAGAGAGATATGAACAAGTAATATTAAAATAATTTGTATGTATATCAATAAAAATCTTTAGAAAGTACGTATAGGGTACAATACATACCTAAATAGTATATTTTCGACTTGTTTTAACATTTACTTGGGTATTAGAAAAATAAACAAACCTGAAAAGCTGTTTGCGTACAGCCCATTCTGCAGTAGTTGCCATAACCGGAACCACACCTGTATGGTGTAAAACACTAGCTGTCACGTGTCTTTTACTAGTCGTTACTTGTAGTCTGAGAAAAATATATATAACACGAATATAAAAACTATTTTGTGATACTTGACAAAACTTTAGCACCATGCGCACTTACTTATGCCAAAACTCACGACCAGGTTTTTCGAGATGGTAACCGGCAGGTTTGTAAGCGATTCTTAACTTCTCCAAATTTCTAGGGTTGCGATTGTATACAAATTGAGCATGGCCTGAATCTTCAGACGCTGTGCCAAGACACCTTTTTATGTTTGTATTTGTTACACTGGATAAAATGTTTTTTGATTGCCGACCGACCAACATGTTAAAATAATTTTTTTTCCTTATTATTTGAATGAAACACCTATTTCATATGAGACTTGATTTGATGGTGGTTGATGGTCTGTGAACGTGAAAACTGAAAATCTTCATCAAATATAAATCACAGTTCATGCTTATATTAAAACGTAAATTGTAAATAATAAATATCATTATCATTGATAATATATTATCACTCAAGTGAGCCATCCGGTTATTCTCATTTCTCATAGATCTTTATTACTTATGGTCACGATATAGGTATTGTTCTATGATATAGGTATACATCTTTAATCGTGACCAGTAAGTTGTGGTCCGTGGCTTATCTGCTTAAACCGTGTTTATCACAATATTGTCTATATTTCACATAGATATATATTATTAAAATATTATATTGTTTAATAATATATATCTATGATATTTCACGAGAGGATCGAGAGCAAAATTCATCGACCAATCAGAAAGTAAGGATTATTATCATATTATCATTAAGAAACATATATTACCCGCGCATTTTTAAATATATATTAAATTATATTTTTTTGTATGGGATGACATAAAAACAATATTATTTGACGAAAATACTATATTACGTAACATTATAAAATACACTTGGGTACGATTCTTTTTTTTGGTACTTATTTATATACATATTATTATATACCTATTTTACGGTAGGTATCGTCCTAGAACACATACACAACTACTTTAGTTCATTTGAAATGAACACTTGCTTCGATTATCTAAACCAGTGTTTCCCAACCTTTTTACCACCACGGACCACTTTGACAATATTTTATAGGTCGCGGACCACCTCAAACTAGGAAGACCTTTTTTTTTTTTTTGCTCATTAACAAGAATACACAAAAATTTATAAACTTTACAAATAATTTACTTAGTGTGATTTTTGTATACGATAAGATAACCGTATATTACGGTAAAATAAAATATTTTTCGCAGTTTAAAAAAAAAAAATAATTTTTAATAGAAAACTAAGAAAGGTACCGCGGACCACCTATGACTGGCCCACGGACCACTGGTTGGGAAACACTGATCTAAACCCTAATATTGGAATTCAAAAAATGAAATCTTCTAAACTAAAAACAATTAGAAATGAAAATTTTTAATAGAAAATACAATAGTTACTTTACTATTATTGTTAAATAATTATTAGATTGATCAATATTTTTGGTTTGGTTTTTACTAATTCGTATTATGGACGTGTAAATGTGTAGTATATTTGGTTCAATTTCTGATGCTGGAGTGCTGTTAAAAATGTGTACAGTACAGTATTATAAAAGATACTTTTAAAATTGCATATAAATACAGATACCAATACATTCATTCAGAAAGTATTATGAGGTAGTAAGTAGTAGTAAGTATTCGGCGTTTAGATAAGAAATGATTTCTTATCTAAACGCCGATATCTGAAATTACTTTACGCTTATTATTATAGCAAGTGAGTAATCTGGAAGCATTTTCCTGGACGTGTATAAATATCGATAGCTATGTAATGCCTATGTTTATTTCTATTACATGTATTTATAATTATTAATTGATTATTACGTATTCACATTTGTGTTACCGACTACTGACAATTATTTAGTATTTTATTCTAGGTAATAGTTATGCTATAAAAATAAACCATACCTATAATATGTATAAGTTACAAGATAACATACACGATAAAATAAAAAGGATATTATTTTATATTTCCTTTGTTTTGAAAATAATTGTCAGGTGTTAATGTCTTATATTAATTCATAAGAATTTAGTAACTATATTAATTGTTAACGAATATTTTATATTGCATGCCGAATTACAACTATCCAGCTCATATCCATTTAGAAAGCATTTCGTAAATAGTCCATCTATTATCCTCATTCCTTGGTATTTGAAGAAGAATAACTCTGGAAGTTTTCATTCAAATTTCGATTACAATACGTCAAAATGTTCAGAAAAATAACCAGATTCAGGCTTTGCTATAAAATATATATGTTGTCATTTGAAAAACCAAAGTTTGCATCGCCACAGGATAATCCTTAAATGTTTTGAAAAATCTAAGTACACGAAAATATCGTCTTTAAATACACTTAAAAATTCCAAAAATCAGAATTTGAATATATGAATAATTTAAGCATAAAAATGGGGCGAGCATGCTTAAAAAAATCACCCTATATTATAAATATAATATAAAATATCTTAAGTTGACAAATTGTATCTGGCCTTTTTTTTTAAACATATTTATTTTACATACATAATAATGATATATTTTGTAATCTCATAGCAACAAACACTTGTTGTTTATAATTAACTTTGAAGTCTCAAAATATATTATATTTGTTTATTTTGTCTTGTATATTCGTAAGTAATTTATACGTACTTAATGATAAATATAATGTGGTGTATATTTATTAATTTGTTTTAATTTTTTGATTTACAGAGAATATGTTCATTGAAGAATTTGTGTCACAAATCGCCGGCGAAGCCCTTTTCTTTGGGCTGAGCCGGTTGATTGACTATGTACTAGACTCAAGTAAGTTTAGCTGAGTAAATACTGATTTAATTAATTGATTTTTAATCATAATATTATAAATAATCATTTGTAATTTATATTATACTACATAGACCCAAAACCGTATTTCAATGAAATTGAACCAAATGCAGTAACCAATGACGAGTTGTTTGGCGTCATTAATCCGACTTCTAGAGAATTTGTAGACGGTAAGAGTTTGGGCATCAATATAATTTTTGCACGGGGTTGTAGTAATATTGTATATTCGGATAGAACTATTTTCAGGAATGATAACAGATCAATCACAAATGTCTGTTTATGGATCCGAACAGATGGTAATGGACGGTGACATATTATACCCTATGTGGATTGAGTCATTAAACATAGTGATGGACGACAATAAGGTAAGAAATACTTTTGGTCATTCATGATGATTATATAGACATGCTATGAATAATAAAATATGGGCGTACATTACCACACTTAAACGAAATCTTTTGACATAATATATACATTACAGGTGTTGACGGAAATAACGCTTGAAACAAAATTCATAATCATAAAACCCGTACCGGAAATAACGCACAAACAAATGTTGTGTACGTTACTCGATTGTCTTTCGACTCCCATCAATTGTCCGCCGGAAAATGCTAGAGATGTGTACGGAACATATTTTGTTTACACTTGTCTTTGGGCTTTTGGTTCAGCCTTATTTAAAGATCAGGTGCCTATAAAGTATAATTAGTATTATTTCTTAATATAGCAAGCTATTTAATATATTATATTATACCTTACACATGTATAGTAATAATATCAATTATATTTTGTGTCTTTGTGATCATTATGCTAAATTGGTAATTTACATATAGTTGATTGATTGGCGAGTTGATTTACACGTAAATTAATATATTTTATGTTTTTGAATCTTGGCTTTTTTGATATTAATCAACTATATTTACTAATTATAAATTATAATTATTTACAGCAAACTCTCGTAAACACAATAGACACAACTATGATAAGATATTTCCTCAACTTATTAGTTGATAAAAAAAAGGCAATCATGTTGCCTCCGGCCAATGATAATCGAAAATCACTTTCTAATGATTTGAACGCTGTTGCAAATGTACCGCTTAATTTATACACAATATCTGGTAAGTGGTATTTAAAAACTAAAAACCTAAATTTGTACTCATTTATACTGCTAATTGTTCAATAATATTAACGATAATATTTTCAAAAACGAATCTCTTAAAGCACACAAAATCATACACTTTATTATGAGTCTTAATATTATAATTTATCCTTAATAGAAATGTTCCAAAAAATTTTGGAAAAACCATTAGAGAAAAAAGCTGGTAGAAACTTTGATCTATCGGATGGTAAAACACTAATTCACTTTATTGATGATATAAACATGCCAGAAGTAAGTTAACATTTAATATATAATATTTATTTTAAATGACTATTATTTGAAAATATTGGTATTGTAATAAAGAATGTGCGGTAAAGATCCCATGTACCTATAATATAAGTTAACAAATCATTTTGATTTTATCTAGATGAATTTCTAGATATTTTTTTGCTCATCTTTTATCTTATCTAGATAAATAGTTACAAGGTATCTAAACGGTCATCTTAGATATTTTTTTTACTAATTTAAATGAATTCATCTAGATAGATTTTCTATTGATGAAAATCGCGAAATTAAACAAACGCATTTTTAATTTTTATTAATTTTAACGGTTTATTTGTTTTTCATTAACAAACAATAATAATTTTTACATAATTATAATAAAAAATACATGAAACATTTAATCTGGGTTGTGCTATATCATACTATAATTATTATAGTTATTTAATTATGGTATAATATAATATAGCTAGGTATTAGCTATAATGATGTAGACTGTATGGCAACAGTAAATAGAATAATAAAATAAAAACTATATTTTTTGGTCAGATTATTTTAAATCCAATTTTTAATTGGAATTTTTAAAATTAATTAAAAAAAAAAATTGTATCTTTTTTTATCTCTAGATAAAAAAGTATTAGTTTAGAGGGGGGGGGGGTAAGTCGGGGTACTGTCCCGTCTACCCCCCACGTATGTATAAATATTTGTCTTGTCAAATAAACGATGGCGGCGTCGCGGAAGTAATGCGAAAGCTATTCCCGCGACGCCGTCGGTTCAAACTGAAAAAAAAAAAAAAAAAAAGATAAAAAAGTATTTATCTTTATCTTTATATAGATAAATATGAGTTAAGTTATCTTTTATCTCTATCTAGATACATTTGAGTTGCATTATCTTTATCTTTATCTAGATACAAAAATACTTACCGAACACTGGTGATCAACGGTGTTTGGACGGCCAACCTGGCCAAGATGCATTGGAGGCCAAACCATTAAGGTTAATTAAAAAGTCATTAATAATATACTAATGATTAGGTTTTTAATAATTTATATTATACAATTTTATTAAAATATATATTTT